GGGGGGGGGGAACGCAACATGGAGAAGGACCCGGTGCTGCTGGTAACCCACCCCAAAGCACGCTGTTGCCGGGGTGAAATAGACAAACTCCACCTGAATGGCTTAACTTCATCATCGAAGCATCCCTTCTCTTGCCCCCACTCACTCCGGTCCTTTGCCGGTCTCTCTCCCACCTCCTTTCCACCGCCCACTCTAGCCCCCTCACTCAGGCAAGGGGAGGAAGATGAAAGAGAAAGCCGCCGGCGCTGTGGTCGACACCACGTTGATAGATGCTCTGACAGAGGGAATGAGGCGAGAATTAGGGACTAGGAGAAGGAAAAGGAGAAAATGTAACACATTGCTCACCTAACCAGAGAAGAGACGCAGCAAGCACAAGGAAAAGAGTTGTGGCTGCACCAAACGTATACTACCACACGCTCTTCGGAGACAAGGGGAAATCAAATCTCCAGGCTTACCAGGGGGAACAGGACCGGGAAGACGGGAGTGAATGAAGACAGGACCTTAATTATCGCTTTTAAAACACTACTGCTTTCATTGTGTCCTTACCACCGGATGGACGTGGGTTTTCGGATATGCAAGACTCAGTGTGAGAGACCTCGTAGAAAATGAAAATACATCCCAAAATGAGGGAGAAGAAGGACCTAGGAAAAGGAGGCATGCCTGCGCAGTTGCTGACATCCTGGACAACGCTGAAAGGGACCCTTGAGAACGTAAACGCGAATCCAACCTCAAAAATCCCCCAGTTCCCACTGTCTCCTTGAGGCATTTCCTAAAAGGATGGGACTTTTAAGGGAGACGCTTTGTGAAAGTTACTGTGTAAGTGAGGCTTACGTTTAGAAACATTACATTTTGTTCCTTAGCTCTCAACCCCGCCCCCCAAGTCAAGTATTCAGGCAAAAATTATTACACCAATGCGGTAGCCATCTGTAAAACCTGGGAGCCATAAACAGGAGACGGAAAGAATTGTATCCCCATCGTCCTTAAATTGAAAATAAAATACAGAATTATGTGTTAGTGCCATTACATAAGAACGCTTAGGCAAAGATCTCTCTTCTAAAGGTGAAATTGTGGACTACTGGACACTGTAGACCTAACAGTTCTTTAAGTGGGCATTTAAAACTTCGGTTATTGCTAACTACCAGTTGGGAGCATGCTAGGAAGTAGTTTTCAAAGCTATATATCAGTTCAGTTGGTCCCACAGGTAATTAATATGTAATATGTCCCAGTCGGTCATATGTAAGCTGATAGATTTAGGAAGAATTAAGAGGTTGGTGAAAGAAGTCAGAATAACGAAAACTTTTTTTAAGAATTAAATAATCGACAAAGCTATGCCTTACAGAAGAAAATAAAAAATGGCATTTTATTTCAGGGCGTCAGGGAGAATAATAAGGAGGGTTGGGAATAAATCCATTTTTGTAGTGACGGTATGCAGCCTCCATTGCTGTTAGTGTGGTAAGCGAGGAGAGGAGGACACAGTTTTACATTTACAGTCCCAGCTAACGTAAATTTAACAAAGTCAGAATTCCTCCTCCGAGTGCGCCAATCTGACAGAGCAAAAGAACCCTGGAAGATGCAGCTTCATCAAAGCAGCCTGAGTGGATCGGTCCTTTTCATCAAACCCAGAGGGGGAGGGGGCAAGAAGAATGGCCAGAGGGTATTTTTTGAAAGCCAAGAGGAGATTAAATGACGACTCTACATCTTCCCTGTTTAAGTGTTGCAACTAATTCGAATTCCCATTTTCTCCTTCGCGTTAATTATCTGGACTCTTGTGAGTCATACGGAGCTCAGCTCCAGGTGTCCCGGAGATTAGGAGCTCAAGAAGATGGGAAATTTTGGAGCAACACCTAGTGAGAACGGTTTACAAAAGAACCGGGATAGGGGGCTGCGTTCGGTCCCTTGCGGGAACCCTCTTTGGAAACATTGGTTCTAACGAAATCACCTAATGGCCTCGCTCGGTAGGCTTGGCGGTGAGTGGTCTGCCCGGTGTGCTGTCTTCAGCCGTGTTGCGACTCTTCAACGAGGCCACCCTTAAAAACCATGCGCCCACATGTTTTACAGCTTTGTCGGTAAAGGAGGTTGACTTTTCCCTGTGAAGTCTGTCTGTCTTAAGAGAGAAAAGCAAGGCGATACAGGAGGGGCGAAGTAACCCCAGGAAGTGGTGTCTCTGGACTTCGCCTTCCTGGCAAAGGCATTGCAGCCGCCTGGCAGTCTGTCCTAATTCCTGTGGGGCTGTTATTAGCATAAGCAGCCGCTTCTTCGCTCCTTAGGGTAGGGCGAGTGGGCTCCTAGGTCTGGGATGTGGTGGGTGCGGTGCCGAAGCAGCCCCGCCGCCCCCCTTTCCTCGGATGTAGAGGCAGGTTGTTCGTGTGAACTCTAGCGAACCACTGGAGGCTGGCTGTAGCAGGTTTACTCCTTCAGGATGTGGGTTTCAGGGGGCGTTTTGATGTGATTTAATTCCGACCGTGAAACAATTGCTAGGGGCTGGCTGCGCTGCTGTTGGCTTCTCCCCTCCTGGTGGCTTTGGGTTTAGTTTGGGAGCGAACTTGTTTTATATCAACACTTCCTTTTGCATAAGGCGCTGTC